CACATTTTTAAGTCGGCTCCAGCTGGTTCTGGAATTGTCATCAGGGAGACCGTGTAAGAAAGATAGAATTCTGGAAATGAATGACCTCCCCTGTGGAATTATCCTCATCACGAAATTGAGTGACCCAAGAAGTGATTGTAGCTCTTTCCTGGTGCAAGACCCTTGTGAGTTGCAGATATTGATAAAATTCTATCTACCTTTTCTTGAGGCAGGCTAGCTTGCATTGAAACTGAATTAAATGTTATCCCCAGGAACGTAATCTTCTGTTTTGTCCGGGGCTACCGGAACTCCTAAATCTTCAAATAGTGACAGCATGTGATGTAGGCTGCATGTTGTGAAGTGGTGTGGTTCAATAGACAGAAAATCATCCAAATAGCAAATGATTACTGGATATCTGCATTTGTTAAGCAGGAGTCAGGTCAAAGTTTTGGCGAAAATATCAAAAATCTTGGGTCTACTTTAGGAGCCAAAAGTTAGTATGGTTGCGAAATAATACTTGTCTTCCCACTTAAGGCCATGCAGGTGCCAGAGTGATTGATGAATTGGCAGTAGTTTGAATGCATTTGTAATATCTATTTTACATGACCAAGCTGCCTTGCCGGAGTTAGTGATAGCATGTATGGCATCGTCTGTTCTTGCATATTGTAAAGATAAATCCTTGGATGGTATAACTGCATTTAAGCTAGATGCAGTGGTAGAGTGAGGTGCTGTAAAATCAATGATGAGTCTTTTTTTATTATTAAACTTCCCTGTAGCTATGCCTAGAGGGTTCATTCTCCAGGAGGTGAAAGGTGGGGTAGTAAATGGCCCAATCATGAAACCGTTCTTGATTTCTTTATTGAGCAGTTCCTGTAGACTACTAGGGTCAGTGAGTGCTGACTGTAGATTGTGGCATTCCAGAATTCCTGTGGGGAGTGCAACAAAACCCATGTGAAACCCATTAGAGAAACCAGAGGTGAGAAATTCTACCAGATCTGAAGAAGGATAATCAGACAGTTAACATTGCAAATTAGGTATGTTTATTGGTGTAGATGATCTTTTAGGGTACAATATGTTTGGGCACATTGTTTTAGCATGTACTCAGTAACAAAGTGAACACACGTGAAGGAGTCTGCAAGAATTGTAACTACATCCTCCTGCATTGAAGTTGTTACAGACTTGAGCCTTGCCAAAAAAAACGATAGGTCTGCCTAGTTTATCTCTCAATTCTCTTTGGGCCACATTGGGTTGAAACTAGGGGTTGGCATTGCTGGTGGAAGGAATTGCTACGTTGCTGGGACAGAAGTTAACATTATGAGCTGCTGAGTAACATATTGCACATGAAGGTGTTTAGAGACCAGCAAAATGTCTACAAAATAATTCAGTGTCAAACTGGGCTCAGTCGGTAGGTGTATTATATTGGGCCAGTGACGCAGCAGATCTAGATGCAAATGACTTGTGGTAGTCGTAAAAAGCATAGCCTCTATATTTATATGTTAAGTCTATCAATTTATGTAAATATAAATCAAGGAATATTTTTCTTTTTAAGTTCGGTAGTAATTTTAGGTATTGTCCAGGATCTATAGATGGACGCTGGGCTGCCCAGTACGGTTTGCCTCATCTGTGAACCTGGTCTGGTTGAGGTGTTGGTAACCGACAGGTCATCTCCTAGTATGGAAGCGTTAGACATGCTATGGGTGTGAGGCAGATAACTTAGCTAATATGGTATCCATGTCGATATGAAGTAACCCAGTTCACTAGTCTAGTGCCCTAAGGCGAAATTATATTATTCTCACTATCTTAGGTGACAGATGACACCCTTACTACTTGCCAAGTGGCTTTGAGAGGCTCTACCTATGATTTGTGCCACTGAGGTAGATGGCGGGGTGTTGGCCTCTCGGTGAAATGTATAAGATTTTAATATTGATTGTCAAATGACAAATGACAAACCTGGGAAAGAAACTAGATACTAACCGTATATTAATTGGAATAGAGTTGGGGAACCTTGGACTTGTCCTGGAAGGGCGGTCACTTGAACTAATGTTTGGGGAAACAAACTATAGGGGAAAAAAAGTAAGGGTAGGTAGCTATTAATTTAGAGGCCTGCCTCTTTAAATAATGCAGGATTGGTATTTTTTAAAGACGGAATTGCTGCAACCAATGTCAGTAATTGTAGTATCTTGTTTGAAAAATAGGAGGGAAAACAAAACATAATTTAATTGACTAGCTTGTATTACTTGCTTAACTGGCATTGACCGAACAATCAAATGTAAATACATGAAATGCATTTAGTGAACATGACCTTAAACTATGCCGAGATGCATCAGACAGAAATAAATGCTAGAGCGTAAATTCAATATCCTAATTAGCATTATTTATATAGTACTATGCAAGATACATTAGCTTCAGCTTTAATGGAATGAACCTGCAGGATTTAGCCGAACGGGCTTTAAATGGTAGTAGGTTTAGGAGGTCAGTGATTTTATACGAACGTAATAGCCTTAAATATGTATTACAGTACATGAGAGGTATTATATGCCGTTCATCTGATTCTATACAAATAACATGGTGAGCGTGGTAAAAGGAGCTTATTGACTGACCGGGGAAACAGACGGAAGTTTAAACGAAATGCAGCAGAATTGAACAAAATGGTTTTAACATGACAGTTTTTTAACATGACAGTTTCAAACTAACTGAATTTAATGATTCTATACGAATGAAATTGTGAGCATGGAAAACAGACCTAATTGACCGTTCGGGGAAACAGATGGAAGTTTACATGAAATGCAGCAGTATTGAACGAACGGTTTTAACATGACAGTGTCAAACAAACGGAATTTAAACGAACATATGCGATTAACGAACTGGTCATAGGTGCATTCGTGTAATTGTAAATTACAGTTAGCAGTTCATATGTTGGCTTCCTCCACTCACGAAATTCAGTACGAGAGAAAAGTTTGTACGAACTAATCAAGGAAAACTGATGTCAGGGTCCGGGCGGGAGAACTGATGTCAGGGTCCTGTGAACCGGAAGTAAACAGAGAATTTACTAGATCATCACCAACAGGTAAGCAGGGGCTCACTGCGTTTAAATAGGACTAATAGTCCCTCCCACAGAGCTGGATTGGATTCTTTACCTGGGGGTCCAGAGGTGCTGATGTCCCTGGGATCTAGTGTAGGTGCTGGGCTGGATGGCGGCAAGGGAGCTGTGATCTTCCTGCTCAGCTCCCTCTTGCACCGCTTAGTGATGCCTGAAGCTGAAGTGATGTCATATTCCGGTTCCGGCATCACCGCTTGTCACGCGAGGGAGCTGAGCAGGAACAGCTCAGAGGAAAATGCTCCTTCTTCGCCCACCTGCAGCATAAGTAGCCGTCTGCCTTGGGGGGGGTGGTTGGGGGGTGCACAAGCTGGCCCCACATGAAAGAGTCTGACAAGATATCTGCCAGAGCGCTTGAGGGGCTTCATTTTTTGCTGCCCCCCTGAATATGCCGCCCAAGGCAAATGCCTTGTCAGTCTTTCAGAAGAAAAGCCTTGCTTGTAGGTGGACATTTAGTTGGGCTCTGTGGGTGGGCTTGGGAACCCAGTCTCTGAGCTGTGTTATGTGGTGTATTACCAAACTCTATAAATTATTATGTACGCATACACATATAAACTCTGGTCCGTCTACTTTAACAAATATTTATTCAGAGACAAAACAACAACAACATACAAATAATGACACTCAATCTAACTAACTATACCACCAACAACAGCAACAACAAGCTAACTAACAATAACAACTACATCTTATAAAATCCCACTCACAGTTCACCATGATAGAAATTAGGCCATGTCTGCTTAAAGGACTGCTCAGTAGCACAGCCAAGAAGGAACAGAGAGGAATGGAGAAAGGGGAAGTGGTTATCTCTTTCCTGACTTGTAAAGGTATTGAATTACCAATTAACATTTCAAAAGGGTAAAGCTTATCCCACTGTAAGCAAACATGAGCTTGGTCACATGACCCCTGGTCACCATATTAGTTTGATGACAGAATGTCACCACATTCCCTCACTTTTTCTTCTCTTATGTTGAGCACATTTAAAAATAATAATAATGTATCCCTTCTATCTAAACTATGAGATCTGAAGTAGGAAAGGGGAGCACAGGAATTATAGTGAGTGATATAAGCAGGGTGAAAGAAAACAGTCAAATAGGGGTTGCATCACCCCACATTCCCCCACTTTTTCTTCTTTTATGTTGCTCCGTTATCTAGTTATCCCTCTAGTACAGGAAAACCTAGTGGGAGCAAAAACCTGATATACAGGAGAAATTCAACCCACCGTCCCTCCGGAATAGTTCCCTCAGCGACATAAGTTCTCCTGTACTTTCCTATGGCTGTCAATTCACATGTTATACAAAGTGTCACAAAAAACAGAACTTATAGAATGTAGGTGAGAGTGTGTGTGTGCAATGTAAAACTTTATTGAAGAATGTGTGAGAGAGAGAGAGAGAGAGAAACAAAAAAGAAACAAACAAAAAAAAATATCCCCCTTTTCAAGTTTCTTCCTCATCTATTTCATTGCCACACAAAAGTATACTAGCGGCAAAGTTTGTAGGACTGGATGTGGTATTTGCAGAATTCCATACTTTCAATCCAGTTCCGACTCC